CGGACGCGCGGAGCGAAGCGCACTCCTCTCAACTACCACAGCCCCCAGGGTGTGGTGCATTAGGAACGAAATGGTCGCGTCGAGGTGAGAGGGGTGTCGCGCGCGAAGGAATGTAGCAGGATGCAGCGGTAGGTAAGAAGTACAAGAACTAAAGTACTAGTAGTAGAATTGTGCATAAAATAATGATCGCATATCGATTGAGCTGTATGAAGAATACTAGAGCTGTAATAACGGCGAATGAGTGGTCCGCGACAGCCGCGTGCGGCAAATCGATTACCCAAAGCCGTTCCTAACGCCCGTCTCCCCAGCCCCCACACTTTACCCCTCCCCGCCTCCGCAGGCCGTTCAGATTCTTTCCCCAAGCGAAAGCTTTAAAGGAAGAGGAAATGCAAAAAGTATACCGCTCGTTACACAGAAGACATAGTATTAGACGAAAACCATTCTCGCCCTGTGAATAACGTTGGTATGAAGTTTCCAAAATCCCCTGCATCTTTTCTGACAAAGCCAAACTCTGATTTTCGATGGTAGACAAGTGGTTGGGAACGAAAAACGAGCACTTCCTTTCCTCCTCGTTCTGTCCATAACTCAGCGTCGTTTATCAGCTTTTAATCGGGATCTACGGCGAAAAACAGCAGTTATTAAAAAGCGACAGGTTAAGTGGAGACATTGTCTTCTCTCTTTAGGCTTCTTCTCTTTGCTGAAACAAAAATGAAAAAGATGACCAAAGCTTATACCAGAGCTCCCATGGTTAAATGCAAATCTTACATACTTATGTGAAACCAGTGGGATCGCCCGGCTGACGCTGGGCTCCTCTCCTTCTCGTGCAGATATCTCTATGCCTCTATGTCTGTGAATTTGATCGATATCCTTGTGATGTTCATTTTGTAATTGTGCATCTGCTCAAACGATTACTCATCCTTTTTTGATGGTGTTTCATACTATTCTATCCCACCTCCTGACGCCTTCTTGAGTGAGTCTTCGGGAGCAAGACGAAAACTAACACATTCACACGAGATTATGAGCAAGAGTTTAGTAAGAAGGCTTCCATAGTGTGTAGTACGAGTTCGCAAAACGTTGATAAAAGATCAGAAAGCATATCCCATTTAGATAACCGGCTAAGTGGGTCTGTTTGGTGTGTTTATGTGAGACTCATGACTCCTGTCCCCGCGAAGTTGAGGCGTCCCAATTTGGTAGGAATGCAGGCGGCTGGATGTGTACACTCATGGTGAGTACTCGGCAGTACCAGATCCCGCCCACAAGGGACGGGCTTTGAGCAAAAATTCACAACTACTGTTCCTGTGCACTTAGAACGTTCAAATTCAGTAGGAGTACAGGCGGTAGGATGGGAACGCTTGTTTTGGGCGTCTAGGGCAGACTCCGCCTTTAGTGGGCGGGGTTTGTGCGGGAAATCATGATTGCTGTTCCCGTGCATCTCACGCGTTCAAGTTTGTTGGAGGTACAGATGAAAGGGTTGGCAGGATGGGAACACTAATGGTGGGGACAAGACTCTACTCCGGGCATGGCGTGCTTGAAAATCGGTAGTTTGGATCCTGGGCATCCAACTTTGCTTGGAATAAAGCCGGCAGCATGGAAATTCTGATCGGGAAGTGGCATGACTTGACAGGAGGCAGGACGTACGAGAGAATTACTAATTTTGACCTAGGGTCTTCAAAGTTGGAACGAGTGCGGCAGATTTAAGACACCGATTGTTGCTAGTAGAAAGTAACTGACTAGCCNGGGGGGGGGGGGGGGGGATGGGGAGATGTATGGGGCGTGATGAAATGACCGCACATCGAATGAAAGCACGCAGTCAAGTTGGGGGCGATTCACACGTGACCCCATTAGAGCTCTTCGCGCATCGTTTCAGTACCTTTCTGTTGAGACGGACCAGATAAGATTTGCAGTAGTTCACGGTTTCACCAGGAACTAAAGCAAATCTCTTTACTATGACAAAGAAGCCCATTCGAGGTTAGGAATTCACTTCATAGGTCAACAATTTACTTCTCAAACGTTCAAAATACGAATAACTTCAAACTTTTCGATGCTAGAAAACGCAGTCCTTCTGTGAACGTGTATGATTGGTATTTTTTTACTTATGTTTTATAGGTTCTCATTTCTCCCGTTATGGTGGTAGGCATGATGTTATAGCGCGTCCGTCCAATGACATCTTTATATTGACGCGTGAATCGCGCCACACCCGTCAAGTTGGAATGAGAGGAGATGAACCCAACGCACGAAATGTGTCGGTGTGTGCGTGTGTTTCGCTGAAAATCAATAGCTCCTGTTTTTGTGAATAAAAGATATCAAACTTGGTTAGTGTAGGCGGCGGATCACCAACTTTAACAGAAAAAGGAGCAGAGCCCGACATTAGCCAGGCACTCCGACTGGTAGAGCATACAGCTAATGGAACTGATCAGCGCCTAGAATCCACTTCGAGATCCTTCATTCGGGAAGAGCGGGGACAACAATATTCCATTTCTTAGAAGCTATAGACGCGGACTTGTTGCCTATTTATTAAGTTCTAGCGTTCTTCATACAGCTTACTCGATATGCGATTATTATTTTCGGCATGATTCTAATGTTAGTTCTTTCGTTCCTGTATTTCTTACTTCCTGTTGCATTCTGCTACATTCCTTCGCGCGCGGCGCCTCTCTTCGCGACGCGACAACTCCGCTCCTACTGCACCACTCCCTGTGCGATAACATTGTGAGCGAAAGGTTTGCGGCGCTGGGAGCATCCACTTGAGGCCGATTGCGCGTTTGCGCATTGTTTCAATATACGCAGAAGTGCAAAAGGGTGTCATTTATAGTTGAGCCAGTAAATGTGCTTGCAGTGCGGCCGGCACGCCACTTCAGTCTGTTATTCTCTGCAATATACACAGAAAACCGTTAAGACTTACTGAAAACGAGCTGCCTTCATTCCATCATTGCTCATTTCTCGGACATCTCAGCTCGTACTGCATGTATCTTGTTGACTCTTGAAAGTCGATTTGTACGCTTCATGAAAGTGTCCTCAGAAGATCAAAGCTTTGTTGGCTCTTCTATAAACTAGCTTACTCTCAGACAGGAACTGTAGTCCCATCATATAGCTTATTTCCCATTTGGTTATGTTGCCTTGAAGTGTTCAACGAAACCAAACACATTCACTAAGGGCAAGGCTTTTCTGTAAATGAGTTTCTAGAGTGAGTTGCTACCCCCGTAGACTTTTCACTTTTCACCAAGAATTTATGGCTTGGCTGGGACGGATGTACAGGGTGCGGCAAAAGTTCTGGCGAAGACCCGTTTCAGGTTCTCTATAAAAAATGAGGCCTTCGATCTTGACAGGATCTGTGCCACTATTTACTGCAAGTCCTCTTCTATACATTCCATAAACTGGCCGCTCTTGAATATGCCATTTTACAGAATAGTGACAAGCAAAGACCAACGACCCGCCATCCTGCACCTCCATCTGGCTGAATGCACGGCAAAGACCATCTGGCTCTTGAGGTCGGAATTTCTGCTCGATCTGTCGGAAGGAGTGTCACCAGCCACCTCCGACTTCGCTCTTATAAGATTAGAAAAGCTCACATGCTAACTAAGCGTATGAAGAAAACTAGGCCCAAAAGATTTAGGGAGCGTTTAAAGCGATTTTCGCAGGCAAGGCACAGCGACATCCTTTTCACCGACGAATGCCTGTTTTCAACAGATCAATTTCTAAACACCCAAAACGATAGGATGATAGCGGGAAGCCCTGCAGAAGCAGCGATCTGGACACACCAGCCGTTGATGGTTTTTGGGGCAATCACATCGGGCGGCAAGGTGTCCCTGATTTTCTTGGAGAAAGGAGTCAAGGTGGATAACAAGACCTACCTAAAAGGCATTTTAGAGAAGGAGTTACTCCCTTGGGCTGATTCCCATTTCGGCAACCGCACATGGACTTATCAACAGGGCTCAGCTCCAGCACACAGGTACAATGTGGTACTGGGCTGGTGCGCAAAGCACTTCCCAGACCTCATCTCGTCGGACGATTGGCCCCCAAACAAACCAGGCCTGAATCCATTGGACCATTCCGTGTGGTCAGTTCTTAAGATGAAAGCCTGCTCTACTAGGCATAGAAATTTGGATGCTCTACGTGCAACCCTTGTTGAAGCATGGAAGGATTTAGACGAAGACTAAATCCGTGCCACCGTCGATCCATTTCCTAGGAGACTTTTAGCCTGTATTCGCGCAGAACGAGGCTAGTTCGAGATCAAGTTTGTTTTCGTGATCTATATAGCTGTTGATAAATGCTGTTGGAGTTGTATCATGAATCGATCGATTTGACCGTTTTTACGATCATGTTTACCGCTGCCAGAACTTTTGCCGCACCGTGTAAATTTTTCTTCGCCCTTGTTTTGATCGTTAACAATCTTATATTGACCTTTTTTGGTGTCCTGCCAATTTTAGGCTCACCATTCTCTCACATAATCTTGGTCACTCCTTTTCCATTTTCCTTCTACTTTGATTCTTTTTTTACAGTGCGAGTGTGAACTGCTTCATAACTTCTAATGCACAACATGATCGGCGCCTCTAATGAACCTTTACTAATTTTTTTTCAGAATCCGATGCTTAGAAAAATAGTTCTCGCAAAGACATATTGTACTAATTTGAGTGAAAAAGTTCAATAAGACGAAAGTGCCAAGTTTCCGGTTTTTTTTTGTATGTCAATAAGTGAACTTGTTTTTTTTAATTGCAGATTATGTGCAATGTGACTATTGTGGTCGAAACTTCAGCGAGAGTGCTGCAGAAAGACATATTCCATTCTGCAAGTCAGCTATATATTAGCTTATAGCCGTAATATTTACTGCAAAAAAATAGTTGAAACTTGAGAGCTTAAAATAACTCGACAGATTGTCTCCATTTCGTGAACCCTTTCTTCCATCCGATACATATCGAAGCACGACTTTTTTACGCAATGCAATTTAAGAAAAGAAATGAAATAATGTAGTGGGATGTCCGAAAAGTTTCCGCCGATTTCTGACACCCCGGATTTATCAACCGTTGTACAAAAGATCAAGGACCCAACCGCTTGATGTGATATGTTTTCTAAAAGAGCAGGTCCTCCTCTATATTTCTGTTAGGATTCTATCAACATTTGTCTAATTTTGTCAGTACAGGACTCGTATGAAAATGGAGAACTACTGCGCGACATCTGAAGTATTTCTTTTGCCGCAAGGCCTAAAATGCGGCTCAAGCCGCATGAAAGATATATAACGTTTGAATAGACCATGCCCTAGAGGAACGTACAGAGCATGACTAGTTGCGGAATCCAAACAGAGTGAATTTGCCTTCGAAGACCGGCAACCCTTAGGGAGACTATCGTCAGTTTAAATGATCAACTCAAAATGTTAACCGAAGCAAATCGGCACATCACTGCTCGTGGAGTAGGACTAGGGCTTAGTGTTTCGAAATTAACCATTCATGGCCATCTGCAGACACTTGGTTTTGTAAAACGCCTTGATGTTTAGATACCTCGCAAAAGGAGCGAGCGCAATGCGATGGACCGCGCCTCCATG